ATAATATAATTAAAAATTACAACATTGTACTATATAATATGATATTTTAATAATATTATAATTATTAATTTATAATCATATTATAATCATATTATATATTATATTGTAGTGATATAATTATATTTATTATATTAATAATAATATAATAATAATTATAATTAAATATCAATATAATCTTATAATTCTAATATTGTTATTTATAATACGTTATGGTTATATAATATATTTTTTAATATAATGATGATTAATGATTTAATATTATTATAATATAATATAATACAATATAATTGTAATTTTTAATTAGGCCAGACGACGCGTCTGGCCTCTAGCCAGAAAGTTTTGCCTGAAAGGAGTATTTTAAATAGAAAGAGGAAACAATGTAGAGAGAGGAAGGGCTCTGAGTTAATAGACTCTTTTAAACTAATCTAAAAGTGTAAACCTCATTTTTTGCACACACACATTGACCTTCAAAAGAACTAATCGTTTACATACAAAAATGTAAACAATCAGATGGAAATAAAAGGATTGTTTAAAATCATTACTTGTCATAACAAACCAAATCATTACCATATATGAATCCATTATTATAGTGTAGTCACTACCATAATTACATGCTATAACAATTTATCCATGGGTGGTTTATTCACACACCTCTCTTTATTCTTCACTTCCCTTTTTAATTATAATTTCTTCTTAAAAAAGATTCTTATGTAAAATGACAAAAAGGAATGAGTATAATAGACTTTATAACATAAAAAAAATATTATTATAAAAAATAATGATATTGTATTTTTTTTTCCTTCACACATCCACACGTGATATTCTCAAATTAGAAACAATTATTATTTTGAAATCTATCATAAAATTTTAATTTTAACCGCTCAATAGCTATTCTAAAAAATTACGTAGAGGTATGTTACATTTTCTTTGCTATTTGCTCTATGGTGATTGTTTTTTTACCTTTTCTTTCCTTTGTTTTGTGTTAATGTTTTTTAATTTTCTAATCATTTCATTTTTTAAAAGACAAATCATTTCGTTTTATTTTCTTTTTCATTTCTCATAAAGTAGAATGAATTTTTTTTTTTTCATTTTGTTCTTTTTAATGCTTATTATGCTCGCTTATTTGTTTTTCACTCTTTTCCCAATTTGTGTTTTTAAGCATACCTAGTAAAATGAAGATATGAAATTACAGCTCTAGTAAAATTAGGGATAAAATGGCCATTTCAGAAACAATTATAAAAACTTTTTTTTTTTTTAATTCAAGTGAAAGAAAGTATTGTTTATTAAAAAGGCATAAATCCTGAGGTGGGTGATTTGAAGGCAAAATAAATAATTTTCTCTTAAACATTTGGAAGTATTATGAACCACGAAGATTGTAATAAAATATTATTTATGACACACCAGTTAAAAATAAACAATTCTTATTCAATTAATAAAAAGAAAATAAAGGCCGCAATGACACTCAATTTTTTAGATTGACGTAAATAAGTGTTGACAAAACCATAACAAACCATCTAATTTTCTCAAAAATAAGTCACTTATTAGGCTTTCATGTTAACGTCAAACAATGCAGCATGGTTTCAAATTAAATCTTAGTATTTTTTTTTTCTTTTTGGCTTGAATTTGCAATGTTTGAATTTAGTTTAGGGGAAAAAGCCAAAAATACTACTCAAGAGGATAAAAAAATATTATTTATATCATTCTATTAAAAAATAAACGATTGTCACTTAACTAATAAAAAAAAATAAAAAACAACAATGACACTCAATTATTTAGAATGGCATAAATAATAGCTTTCTATAAAACAGGGCAACCTATGTACTTCTCTCTTTAGGTTAGTGTGTTTGGATTTCGTCCAACTGGGATAAAACTTGGATATCTAGGTAAACACATGTGCAGTAGGAAAGAAATGAATTATTGTAAGAAAGGATAAAATTTTGGGATGATCAACGTGAAAATTGAGTTTTTCTCATGAGTTGTATCGGAATCATATTCTTGTACATGTGGAAGATATTTTAAGGATCGAGGAGTACACTGTAAATTAGGTATGGATCATATGCCGCCCATGTGTATGAACAAGTTGGTTAATTATTCGGTATATTTTTGTCAATTTCGCATTTGAATCTGGTATTTCCAAAAATCAAATGAATTAGGAAAAGAAAACACATAATGTTGTTGTTGGAAAATTTATGTGATCTTTGTAAATAACATAATTGACGATACTATATAATGATTCATATATTGAAAGGACACATAGCGGAATTGGCAAATGATTCTTTGAATGATCGATCAAAAGTTTTCCAACCAATCGATGTTTACTTTGACATTCTATTCATATCTTTCAAAAACTATATCATGAAGTGGCTTTTTGAAAATAATAAATATGATTGACAAGATTGGAATTTATTATAACAAATAACGTGTATTGCATTCTGTTGAAGAAATGAATTTAGAAATTGCAGTAGACGACATTTATTAACACCCTAAACATGAGACTAAACAGCAAAAGAACGACATGACAGTTTTTGGGAAAAGAAAGAGGCCTAGAAAAAAAAAATTTTGGATTTTTGAGTTTTTTTTTTTTTAGGTGTGTAAGATATGATATTCACTTCTATCTTATCTTATTTTATTTGATTAATTTTTAATGCCTTTTGAACTGGATACCACGTTTGAACATTTCCCGGAGTTTTGAAAAAGGTTGTTTCACTATCTAAACAATGAAAAGTTATTCAAAACACCCCGCAAACTAATGTCGTTTCAGAAATGTCTCCCGAATTATTGATTTTGTGTTAGTTTTCCCTCGATCATCTAAAATATTAGAGAGAAAGTTGACATGAAAATAGCAATTTAGGAACAAATTGACTTAACATCAATAGTTTGGCGGCATGTATAAAAGTATAAATAGTGTCACCTAAGTTCATGAATTAATACTCATGACAATATTCGATCGCCACATAATCTCTCCTAAAAAGTATGAAAAATAACCCTAAAACTCCTATTTATAATCTTTGGGAGTCGTAATAGCATTTTTGTATTATTTTAGAACTTAAAATACACAGTTCAGTCCTTTTTCCCGAAGTAGCGCTGCAGCTCTGACTTTTTTTAATTCTATTACTTCTATTGAAGAAATGGATTTAGAAATTGAAGTAAATGACATTTATTTACACGCTACAGTGGAATGAAATTAATTGTTGAAGGAAAGGATAAACTTTTGGGATGATCAACGTGAAAATTGAGTTTTTCTCATGAGTTGTGATCAGAATCATATTCTGGTACATGTGGAAGATATTTTAAGGATCGAGGAGTGACACTGTAAACTAGGTATGCATCATATGCCGCCCATGTGTATGGACAAGTTGGAAAATTATTATAACAAAAACGTGTATTGCATTCTATTGAAGAAATGAATTTAGAAATTGCAGTAAATGACATTTATTAACACGCTAAACATGAGACTAAACAGCGAAAGAACGACATGACAGTTTTTGGGAAACGAAAGAGGCGTAGGAAAATTCTTTTTTCGGATTTTTGAGTTCTTTTTTTTTTTTTTTTTTTTTTGTGTATAAGATATGTTAGTCATTTCTCTCTTATCTTATTTTATTGGATTAATTTTAAATGCCTATTGAACTTCATACCACGTTTGAACATTCTTAGAGTTTTGAAAAAGGTTCGTTTCACCAGCTAAAGAATGAAAAGTTATTCAAAACACCCCGTAAACTAATGGCATTTTAGACATATCTCCCGAACTATTGATTTTGTGTTAGTTTTCACTCGATCATCTAAAATGTTAGAGAGAAAGTTAACATGAAAGTAGCAATTTAGGAACAAATTAACTTAACATCAATAGTTTGGTGGCATGTATAAAAGTATAAAAATAGTGTCACCTAAATTCATGAATTAATACTCATGACAATATTTGATCGCCACATAATCTCTCCTCTCTTTTCTCAGTCAAAAAGTATGAAAAATGACCCTAAAACATCTATTTATAGTCTTTGGAGTCGTAATGGCATTTTTGTAATATTTTAGATCTTAAAATACACAATTCAACCCTTTTCTCCAAGTGTTGTTGTGGCTCTACTTGTAAGGTTGAAAAAGTCAGTCATTGTATTAGAGTGATCGAGCCGAAAAGACGATCAAATATAGTGCAAGAGGTCAAACGGTGGTTTGTTGATATTAATTCATGGGAATTATTTTCCATGAATTAATACTCATGGGAATATTTTTCCAACTTTATTCCCTTGATTGCATATCATATTATTTAGACTAAGAAAATTTTCATTTTGGTACCCTATGTTATATCAAAATTTGAGTTTGGTACCTTCTGTTTTTTAAAAATTTCATGCCAGCACCTCGACCTTTTAAAAAATATTCTTTTCTTAGTACGTCAGAGCCATTTTTTAGGACATGAAAAGACTAAATTACCCTTATTGTAAAAATTCATCTGTTGACGAGAATTACTGGAACTTATTGGTTCTCGTTGGGTTTATAAAATCAAATCCAAGTCTAACGGGTCTATTAAAAGATACAAATTTAGGTTGATTGCTAACGGCTAATCCCAGGAGTGTAGTAAGGATTATGAGGAGACTTTTGCCCCGGTTGCAAAGATGACTACAGTTCGCACTCTTATTGCAGTTGCTTCTATTCGTCACTGGCTCATATCTCAAATGGATTTTAAAAATGCTTTCCTAAATGGTGACCTTTAGGAAGAACTTTACATGATACCTGCTCGGGGGGTTTCTCTTCAACCTGGTGAAGTTTACAGGCTTCGAAAAGCTATTTATGGTCTTATGCTGGCACCTCAAGTGTGGTTCGATAAGTTCACTACGGTGATTACTTCACCTAGTTTTCATTCTAGCTATCATGATTAAACTTTATTTATCAAAAATACTACTGTTGTTCGAATCCTGCTCTCTTTGGATGTGGATGGTATGATTATTACTCATGATGATATTGATGGGATTACAATATTGAAGTCAGAGTTAGCTCGTTATTTTACAATGAAGGATTTGGGCCCACTACATTACTTTTTGGGTATTGAGGTCGCCTCCTCTCTGAAAGGTTACCTTCTCTCTCAGTCTAAGTATATTGCTATCATATTTGAACGTGCTCGTCTTACTGATAATAAGACTGTGGATACACCTCTTGAACTTAATGCTCTGTATTCTTTTTTTGATGGTTCTCTTTTGTTGGATCCTAGCTTATATCGTACTGTTGTTGGTAGCTCGGTTTATCTTATTATCATCCGTCCAGATGTTGCACATGTTGTTCATGTGGTTAATCAGTTTGTTACTTCGTCTACCACCGTCCATTGGGCTGTTGTTCTTCGTATTTTGATGTATCTTCGTGGTACTTTGAAAAAAAAAAAAGCAAAATTGGTCCTAAATATCGTCCTATATATGTACCACTTCTTTTGCATAGTGAACTTGGTACGTATTTTTCTACCTTTCTTATCTGTTCCTCAAATTCTTGGTAAATGTTTAAACACTACAAGAAACAGGGTTATAGCGACGACAAAAAGTCGTTGCAAAAAAAGTAAAGTCATCGCAAATACATTTTTCGCAACCACTTATCGTCGCAAACCTGTCGCTACAACTGTTTCGTTAAAAAAAAATAATTTTTACGACGACTCATTGTCATCATAAAAATAGTTGCAACGACAATCATCACAAATGAGTCGCTACAATTATTTCGTCGGGTACATCATGAAGATGACATGGCATTCATTATTTGCGAATCAAGTTGTTGCAAAAGACGCAGTTGTAGCTGATGTGTCATATATTTGTTGCGACGACATTTGTCGTCGCAAATAATATTTTAATTTTTTATTTAATTTTTCTCATTTTAATATAATACATATAATTCATGATATTAAATATAAATAAAAATTAAATAAAAGGAAATAAATAATAAAAAAATATAAATAAAAGTTATTATGGTAAAAAGTAATTAATACAAGAAAAATGTAATTATAATAGAAATTTGCGGAAGTACAATGGGACGCCCCTCCTATGAGGCCGCCACTGTAACTTTAACTTTAACTTGTACTTACTGGGGTTTCTTAAAATTTGCGGAACATTTTTTTTTTAATATAAGAAAGAATACTTTCATAATTTGTAACAATAATTTCAAATAAGTGAATCACTAAATTTCTTAAAGCTTTTCTTAATTTCAGTTAAGATAAAACGTTCTAAAAATATCTTTCAAACAGAGCAGCATTTGAACTCCTATTTCAAATACTCTTTAAAAGCCTTTCTAAAACTAGCCAATTCAATCAGGCCATTTAATTTTGACTTTAAAACGGATTTCGTGAGAAATCTTAAATTCAAGTACATCTTAAAGCCCTTTTAAAATCAATCGTTTAAATCGTCATGTTTAAAATTTGTTTATTTGTTGCATG